AGCACTGGACGCTCGCCGCTATGGAATCAGGTGAGATCTCGATCGGTTTTCTTTCGGAATCGGGAGCTTATGACGGCGAGGGCGGAGCTCGGAGCGGCCAACGGATCGATGAATCCTGTGAGTTGATTCTTCTCCTTTTGATCGAGCTTTATAGATATGATGAAGGGTAAGCCATTGGTTGATCAGTTTTAATAATGAAAACCCAAAATGACCCATCCTTTTGTTTATTTTATTTTGGAATGTTTCGGATCTTATTCGAGGAAATGTGTTGGGTGATTCGGAATGACACTCTTAAAGATTGGAACTTCACTGGATATCAGTGTGATGTTGATTATTTCTTCTTTTATATGGTTTGGAAACCTCTGACTGTGTTTTTTCGAGATGGTGTATTTGAAGTATATGGGATTGAGAATTCGATAAAGGATGAGCTATAGCTTTGAGAGAATTTAATAATGAAACCCCGGATGTGTCAATTTTTTGTATATTTAATTTTTCATTATGCGTAATAGAAATAGGTCATTAACTTTGTGTAATTTGAGCCAATACCCTTAAAGATTGTACGTTTACCGGTATTTTTGAACTAGATGGATTAACCCTATGAGTAAATGCAGGAAATAAAGCAACCATGGTTTGGGTAGACCGCAGCATGTAACTTCTTATGATTGTATATGGGTGTTGATTCATCTAACTGATTGCATATGGGTGTTGATTCATCTGCCAGCCATTCTGTTTGAACCATACCTGTTCGCACTTCATTTTTCCAATTTTGTTATGGATCCTTATAATAATAGAGATATTTTGATCCTATCAGGGAAATTGGAATACCTCTCTTGGGCTCCAACCTCGTGAATACAAGGCAGGGGATGCAAAGATGGCTTCGAATGGTCGAAGGAAAACTAAGATAGTGTGTACAATCGGTCCTTCCACGAATACGCGTGAAATGATATGGAAACTAGCAGAAGCTGGGATGAATGTAGCACGTCTAAATATGTCTCATGGGGATCATGCGTCACACAAGAAAGTCATTGATTTAGTCAACGAATATAATTCTAAGGCAAAAGACAATGTTATTGCCATCATGCTAGATACCAAGGTATGCGTAATTGTTGGAAAGTATCTCTTACCCATCACTAGATTGTGGCTCTATAGTGCTCGTATCAGAGTCGATCTTGTGTTCAGCTTGCATGCTGATATGTTTTTTGAAAAGTGAAGTGGGATCGGCCTAGTTTTTTTTATATATATTCGAGACATGTAAATCTATTTATACACATTCATGTTTTCTGTTTATGCATCTCATCGACAAAATCCATTCTGCAGGGCCCTGAGGTGAGAAGTGGAGATTTAGCCCAACCTATCTTGCTAAAGGAAGGGCAAATGTTCAATTTCACAATCAAGAGGGGAGTCAGCTTGGAAGACACTGTTAGCGTTAATTATGATGACTTCATTCACGATGTGGAAGTTGGAGATGTTCTCTTAGTTGATGGTAAGTATTGTAATATGTCTAACTGATATCTAGATGTTCCAAAAATGGCATATAGAATGCGTTTTGTTGATGAATCGATGACCACATAACCACTAAAAACCGGCTCAAATCTAAGTTGGCACATCAAGAACCTCGTAATTGGATCTCAATCTGGACAATAACTTGTGTTTTGTAGATCCTCAACTCCTGACTCCAATTACAGACCTTGAACCAAAATGGCTTTTTAGGTCCAATTACATCCATTTTAGTTGATGAAATTCTGACTTGTTTATCAGGAACGGATATTGAGCTTGATGTATGGAGCAGTTAAATTCATATGAGTGATTCTGTTTCTGTTTTTCTTGTTTGATCTTTGCAAAGATCTTCAGAATGAAGTAGTGGCATAGATTCTGTTAAAAACTAATGGTAGCTTTAGCTTCAAAGTTGAACTGAATCAACTTCAATCAATGGTGGCAGCCAAATTCATGAAACATTATTTTGCTCAACCTTTTCACATCTTGAGATATTGATACTCTATGACTCAAGTTTTTACATGCATCTAGAGAGAATCTACCTTATTTCTTAAATATCATCTATAACCATTTGGTGGATCAAGATCAATTATCCTTTGGTTTGAAAAGTTACTTGTTTAGATATCAAGCTTAATGTATTGACATGTCTCGATATAGGAGGAATGATGTCTCTGGTTGTGAGGTCAAAAACAGCTGATACTGTTAAATGTGAAGTCATTGATGGTGGAGAACTCAAATCAAGACGTCACTTGAACGTCCGGGGTAAAAGTGCTACACTCCCATCCATAACAGGTTGGTTTTCATGTGTACAAGCATAAGCTCAGAAGTTCAAACCAAACTGACGTTGTCTAATACAAACATTTTTCTTACCCATATTACTTCTGTTGTTTCCACAGAAAAAGATTGGGAAGATATCAAGTTCGGTGTGGACAACAAAGTTGACTTCTATGCTGTCTCATTTGTAAAAGATGCTAAAGTAGTCCACGAACTGAAAGATTACCTCAGAAGTAAATTCCTTTCTGTTTATCTTCTTACTAGATTCCTTCTCTGAATTCATTAAGGGTATTTGTTTCCTTTTATTCAAGGTTGCAATGTGGATATACATGTTATTGTTAAAATAGAAAGCGCCGATTCAATACCAAATCTTCACTCCATTATTTCTGCATCTGATGGGGTAAGTTATTTCACGGTTTATAAAGTGTTTTTCCAGTCTTCTTACTTTTGAACAAGATTCAGAAGAATTTTTTTGTGTGAATATTATCAATTAAAACACTTACAGAATGAATTAACATGGAAAAAACCCCACAATTATCCTACATGCTCAACAAGAATGAACTAGTTTTCTTCAAATTATAGAACTCTTCTCAAAGTTCATATGTCGTGCCTACATTCAGCCATGAGTATCTTTTGAAAGGAGGACTAGAATCCTTTCAGAGGTAATCAATATGACCCTAGATGTATCAGCTCATTGTACTAGCTGTGATGTCATTGGGGTAAATGATGTGTTTAAAGATACTGTGTTTCATAGCCAAATTAGTGAACTTATTCTGTTATTGGGTTGTACGCACTCATCATCAAAATGCATTCTATCTGTTGTTGTCATAGTTTTTTTTTTTGTCAATGAATGAAATTTTATTCATCACAAAGTATGGAAATGTATGTGCACATCAAAGTTACAAGAAAACCAAAGACTGGTTATATAAACCCAGCCTACACTTTTACAAACATATACAGATCTTCACCGCACGAATTTGTTGCTCGAGCTTTTCCTGCCTGAAAAGCAGATCAACAGCAATAAGCTATCAATATCATTGGTTACTCCTGGTTTGTTAAGGATTATAATCCAAATTTCAGTTTTAATCATCTTGACCAATTGATCTGGATTCCTAGATTGCTGTCGAAAAATTCTTGCATTTCTTTCCTACCATATGTAGTAAATAGTTACAGTTAAAGCCAACCTTTTCAGTTTTTGTTTAAACCCTTTCCCTCTCAACTTGATGGTGAACCAATGAATGATTTGTTACCAGCAACATGATCTCCAATTGAACCCCAGCCAGTTCATAATGATATTCCATACTTCACAAGAATAAGCACAGTCGAAGAACAAATGATTCCTAGTCTCACATTCAGCTCCAGAGCATAGATAACACGTATTTGAATCAATGACCCCTCTTCTAAGAAGCCTATCTTGAGTGAGGATTCTATCTTGTAGGACCAACCAGCATACAAAAGAGTGATTGGGAACATTGAATCCACCCCAGACCATATTATACCATGGCACTTCCTGGGAATCAGGGGTTAGTGAATTGTATAGGTCTGAAAGCCTTAGTTTAGCACTATGATGGCATAAATTGATGAGTTGCTTCAGATTTTCTTCACCTCCACACATAGCCATAACTTTATCTCTAGTTCTAATCAATTGCTTCCACATCCATGAATCTCCTGTTTTATATTTGACCTGCCAAATGTCCCTATGTTTTAAATAGGTTTCATGAACCCATTTAATCCACAGAGACTCCTTGCCAATATGAATATACCAGATGTATCTCAGAGCAGAAGCAACATTCCACCTTTTATGCAGAAAAAATGCACAAACCTCCTTTTTTTTATTCATGCATACTCTCTCCCATGACACAAGTGGAGCTTTGAAAGCTTGATCATTTTTACCCCATAAGAACATTCTGCAAATTTCTTCAAAACACTGATTGGTAGGATATAGTTTGAGGTCCAGAAAGTTTGAATTCCAAGAATCACACTCTTGATGACTTGCATTCTACCTGCATAAGAGAGAATTCTGTTTTTTAACCAGTTTTTGAATTGACCAATAATCTTGGTGAAGAGAGGATTGCAGTCCATGTAAGTCAATCTTTTCGAAACTAAAGGCACTCCCAAATACTTGATAGGCATTGTTCCAGAAGAGAATCCCAACAGATTGTGAACTGAAGCTTTAACATTTTCATCAACACCTCCATAGAAAATAGAGCTTTTATCTGGGTTAGCTTCTAAACCTGAAACTTCACTGAAATTCCTCATACACTGGTGCAGTTTAGATACTGAACGTATATCACCCCTGGAGAATAAGAGCAGATCATCAGCAAAGATAAGGTGAGTTATTTTTAACTTTGCACACTTAGGATGGTATTTGAATGATTTATCATGCTCCAGAAGATCCAGGCTCCTTGACAAGTATTCCATGCACAGAATGAACAGATATGGGGAGAGGGGATCCCCTTGTCTAAGGTCACGTTCTCCCTTGAAATAACCATGGAGGGAGCCCTTTAGAGAGATTGAATACTTAGGGGAGGTTATACATGCCATTATCCCGTTGTTGTCATAGTTATTCTTTATCAATATCATCGACCGACCAAAGGAGGTCTATACAAGTTGACGCTCACTTATAAGAAATTTCTTACCCTCCATTTGAACTTGTATGCATGTTTTTAGCAAACTAATTCTTAACTATCTATTATTCTGCAGTTTGAAAATTTTCATATGAATTATTTGAGTCAATGCATTTGATGTGTATAATATACCTATTAGAGGTACATTTTTGTCAAATATCCAAATAATTAATGGTTTTCTGTTTTTTTCCTCCATTACATAGTTTTCTATGTTACATTTTTTGTGAATTTAAGCAATAAACAATTACACTTCTGTAGGCGATGGTGGCTCGTGGAGATCTTGGAGCAGAGCTTCCCATTGAAGAAGTTCCTTTGCTGCAGGTAGTTAGCTTTTCTGGATATATGCATGTTTTTGAATTGGATTATGTAGATATTAGTCCCTCAAATCTACAATAATTCTCTATTAGTTCCTCAAATCTCAATAATTGCTCATTAGTCCCTTAATCCTAAGGGGTTTTGCTATTTGGTCCCTTGATGATCAAAATACCCCTAGTTATGTTTTCTCTCTTAAAACACATTGTCTTCAGAAAAGGGTTATTTGCACTTTGGTACCCTAAAGTTTACACCTTTTTAACTTTATTACCCCAAAGGTTTTTGACACTTTGATACCCTAAATTTTGCTCCTTTTTTAGCTTTGATACCTTAAAGTTTTTTTCTAACACCTTTGTTACAACTTTCACTTTAATACTCCAAAATTTTGTTTTGGCACTTTGATACCCCAACCTTTAGGGTGTCGAGTTAAAAAAATGTAAACTTGAGGTATCAAAGTTAAAAAATATGGAAATTTTGGTATATGAAAGTTTAAAAATGTGTAAACTTTGGGGTATTAAAGTTTAAAAAGGTGTAAACTTTGGAGTGCCAAATTGTGAATAACCCTTATAAAACATTAGCTTAGGGTATTTTGGTCATTGAGGGATCAAATTGCAATAACACTAGGATTTGAGGGACTAATGAGCAATTTCCTAGATTTAAGGGTCTAATATGGAATTACTGATGATTTGAAGGACTAATTTGTACATAACCCTTTTGAATATAGTCTGCATAAAATGCCTAAGTTACTATGTTACACATACTTATTATATTAATATGGCTTAACCATTACCATGATACTCAAAAGATGTGTTGGTTCTTCTGTAAACTTTAAACCCTCCAAATTACCAGGAGAGAAGTACTTTCTTTCTTGCTATTTTTTTTCCATTTGCTGTTGGACCATTCATCATTGCATGGATTTCTTTCTCTATGCTGCTGATTATTCATCCTTTTTAATTGAACAGGATGAAATTATTAGGAGGTGCCGCAGCATGCAGAAGCCAGTAATTGTAGCAACAAATATGTTAGAGAGCATGATAGATCATCCTACCCCGACAAGAGCAGAAGCCTCAGACATCTCAATTGCAGTTCGAGAAGGTGCTGATGGCATCATGTTATCTGGGGAAACAGCCCATGGGAAGTAAGTATTCTATTTAACGGGTACCTAATATTGGGTCAATAAGAAATACTGGCACTTTTTTTGTTTCTTTATTTCATGGTCAATATGAAATTGTATCAGTTTTTATGTCGGAGACATCGTGAACTCTTATGTTGTTTGAACTCTTATGTTGCTCTACTAACTGCAATGAAGATGTAATTTTCTGCTTTATCGTCTCATAGAAATGTCAAAGGCTTCATTCTAAATGCTAAAGGAAATTGATGTATCCAATAAAGTTTGTAGGAATTTTCCATATATGTGTTTAAGCACATGAACTATTCAAAGAACCATGAGGTTCTACACTTCGGATACTTATGCTCACTTGAGGGGCAACTATAGAGCAATTCCACTTTTATGGCTCTTGATGACTGTTAATGTTGTTAAGCCTGATACTTGATAATACATAATGACATGGTATTGTCACATCAGATATTAACCAGTACGATACAACATCCATTCTAGGTCCAACGTCCTTTGTTTATGTGGACTTAAGTATCATCTTAACAAAACAGGGTTAATCAATTTCGTTGAATCAAATACATTTTTTTCTTTTGTTGTGTGCTGAATACATATATCCTTAAATATCTGGATATTTATAAATACAAGGTACAAGAGCATCACTATGCCACCTCTCCGGGAGGTTCTATATTAGATTCTCCTAGATGCTTGACCTTTATTAATTCATACCCATGTCATACATCCATTTATTATTGCTGCTGATGCCAGAAATTACTTTTGCAATCTTCTCAAGGTGCGCACGTTAATTTTTGTGAGATCACACTGAGTCCTAACTCCTATGTGTTCTTTAAGAGAAGAGTATTATTTTATATGCATCTGAAGTACAGATCTTATCAAGTACAGTATCCTGTGATGTAAATCATGTAATTATACTAAGAAACATGCATATTTAGCAACATTTACCATCAGCTAATTAACTTTAGCCATGTATTATTACTGCTGATTCCAGGAAATATTTTTGAAATTTTCTCAGGGTGCACTCAATTTTAGCGATAATTACACTGGCTCGCAGGGGTTCTTTATGTGAAGAATATTATTTAGATGCATCTGAATTACAGATCTTATTAAATAGAGTATCCCTGTGATGTAATTTACCAAGAAATACACATCTTTAGCAACATTCACAGTGAGCTAATTAATTAAACCCATGTGAAGATGAAAGAATTATGACAGATGTGATTTTTTGTCCTTGTTCTCCTCTTATTACAAATATGCTGAAATCACTTGACCTTTTGGTTTAGGTATCCACTGAAAGCTGTTAATGTGATGCATACTGTGGCCTTGAGGACGGAATCAACTATTTCAGGCAGCATTACTCATCCATTTCTTTCTACTGCTGTCCAGGTATTCATAATACTTGACCACAGTCACTTTTGGCTTTTGATTTTGGCTTCTTAATTTGTCATAGATAATTACATGATATTTGAAACCGGAGTTATAAAAACTCTATGAATCCTAGGAATGTTATCTTTTGTATCCATTTTTCATTCTTATTTTAGTAAGTGATCTTTGAGTGTTTTTTGATAAAATCAAATGATAGATTACTAGTTTTTATTGTTTTAAACTTACCAGCATATCCCTTGTTGATTGTAATTTCTTGTTTTCACTTTCTTAAAGGCTATATATGGCGGGGAATTTTGTCAAAGCCATATGAGTGCAATGTTTGCATCCCACTCGACTACAATGGCAAACATCCTTTCAACACCTGTTATTGTCTTCACGAAAACAGGTTCAATGGCTGTACGGTTAAGTCATTGTCGTCCTTCGTCTACTATTTTTGCATTTACAAATGAGTAAGTCTTTTTCTTTTCACATTCTATAATTTTAAATGTGAGTTTACTTAATTCGAATTATCAGCCTACCAGAGATGAGAAATGACACAAGTTTGCAATATGGCATTTATTATCTCAAATGCATGCTTATTATACACTTTTGTGGATCTTCTTTGTATTACGTATCCCCTGCTAATAGAAGTGTCTTTGTGGATCTTCTTTGTATTACGTATCCCCTGCTAATAGAAGTGTCATTCTTCACAGAGAAAGGGTTAAGCAGAGGCTGGCACTTTATCATGGTGTACTTCCAATTCATATGCCTTTTTCTGATGATGCAGAAGAGACTTTCTCCAGAGCGATAAACTATCTGATGGTACATTTTACTGTTCATATTTTGTTTTTATGATTATCTATATATAAATCACAGTATTTCTATTTGAAGTTAAAAATGCTTAGGTATGAATTGGTTAAGAAAGGCAGACCTTGAGGATCCTAAAATAAGGGGTGGTAAAATGAATGGCGAGAATAGCTTTAATATTCATGATATATCTCTCTAATCACAATGCCTTTCAGCCTAGATATCTCACAATGAATCAACTACATGTTCTTTAACTTTGAAATCATATATGAGTAAAGAAAGCTTTCGTTTTTATTCAGACAAGGTCACATTGTCTTACCTGTATTTTCCTGAAACAGAAAGGGAAATTCCTCAAGAATGGAGAGTATGTCACTTTGGTTCAGAGTGGAACTAATTCCATCTGGAGACAAGAGTCTACACATCACATTCAAGTGCGTAAGGTCCAAGATTGATGTTACCTTGAATAGGCAATTCTTTAGTTTAGTTTTGTTCTAAGTTATTTATCTTCTGAGTGGATAATTTGTTGTGAAGTTTCTAGTCAAAGATATTTTTTGATTATGTATTATGATAGATCCACATTTATTTATTGAGTTCTTGTAGAAACCTTCCATGAAATGAATATTTTGATTTACTGATATTGCCCCGCTCAACTGATTGTTATGATAGAAGAGCCTGCCTTTGCATAAACATTCCTCAATGTGCGGGGGGTATAAGCAATTAATATGAGTATCATGTACGAAATCCTATTTCCAAAAATGAAAGTCTCCTACGTGCATGTTTTTCCACCTAATAGCTCCCTTTAGGGTTATCTACTACTTTAAATCTAAAAATGATGCTTTTGCTTGTAGTGGGGATTTGGAAGCATGGTCAGATGACATATGGCGGTGCCCATGTTTATGATTGTAGATTTTCACATCTTGAGAACACCACTTAATCATAATGTTTTCAAACATGATGTCACTAGTCACTACTAACTTAACATATCTAAAGAAACTCTTGAAGTTTGAATGAAAGCTTACCTTAAGAGCCGAAGTAAAATATTCCACTTCCATATTCATGAATATGAGTTGATTATGGTGTTGGCTGGGGCTGATATAGAGGATTATCTAAAGCTAGTTAAACTGTCATGGATCTGAATTTAGATTAGAATATATAGTTTGTTTGTTACTGAACTAGATTATTGATTTGGTTTAGTTTGATAGTTAGGTTAACCTAGTGGACTGTTTTAACTGTGATTTGATCCGTTTGTTCTACATTAGCCTTATACCATATTAGCGGATGAGTCACATAAGCAGCATTTTAAAGTCGGAGTAATGAATGGTGTGAATATCTTGCTTCAGTTTATTAATTTGAATACTATATTCCGGTTTATCTATTTCTTGATATTTCTTTCAGTTTGTATTCAGTTTTCTACTCCAAAAGTTTCGTTCTAGCAATTGCAATCTTTGTACATTTCTGTTCTCTCCCTTTTGTTAGGAATTGAAACTCCTATAACTGAGAGAGAAAACAAGGGAAAAGAGAAAATCAAACGCAAAAGACAGATTTTACACGGTTTGGCAATCTGCCTACGTCCACGGCTACGCTAATTTCTCTTTCTTTCTTTTTGATAAAGTGACAATTACAAGAGAGAGCGCCCATATATATAGATAGAGACTAGACCTACATGAAGTATTACAGGTTTATCCTTCTTCATAACTGTTGATGGCTGATATCAAACAGTCAATGAAAGAAGTATAAGTTGACGGAGATCCTCTAACCCTCCGAATGTCCGGTTCTGGCGTAGGCTATTCTTCCCTGCACAACTAGCAAATTGTAGGAGGGCAGAGTTGGGTTCCTCGGTTGTTCCTTCGACAATTAGGTCAGTGATTTTCTTGAGTGGAGAAGTAAAATGAACTGCTGTAGTTCTTAATAACAGTGGATAGATGTAAAGATCTTACCTTATTATTGAAAATAGTACCCTATTTATAGTGATGGTAGAAGGGTAGAATGGTAAGTTTGACTGAGTATGAGATGGCGGCTACGTCAGCCTTTGCTTTACAGGTGTCGGCCGACGAGTGGAGGAAATATCATTTTGGTATTTAATGCGAAGTGATTGGGGATGTGCGGTCCCGACGTGGTCCGATGTGTCATAAAGACTATTGGGGGCAGAGGAATGATGACGCCCATAATGTATTTAATGACATTTATTGCGAGGTGATTAGTTGCTAGTGCTTGGTAGGGGGCTCAAGGCTTGAGGTATTTCGTCGCCTTTCTACACGTTCAGTGGTCGAGAAGTACTGCCCTTTGAGTCGCCTTCACAAGATGTAAGCCGAATGGACGGTCGGGTAGGTCGATTAGGGAGTCGACCCAGCCAGAGGTCGACATGTAACGCCATTTGAGTCCTCCTCGCGAGATGGTGTGTCGAGTCATCCAAGCTGAGTCTTGGGTTATTTTGAAGTGCTGGCTTGATTACGCATAATGTGAGACACTTGTTTGTCATTGGTTGGAGATTACTTTTCAGCACTAAAATGACTATAACAATAACAAATAATTTTCGGGCTGGGATTACNTTGGATTCGCAAAAGGGGGGAGGGGGTCAAGCCTGCACAATCCAATCAGCATCAACACCTCTAAAAGCCTCACAAACCATTAGAACTTGGAATATATCAGTTATGACATATATGTTATATTAAACTGTCCAGTTCTACCTATAATATATTGATAACATAGTTTAGTTCGTTTTGATAGTTCCAGTCGCTGCATCGTATTGTTTGAACCTAAAATTTGTGAATATATTTACATAGAGGAGTCATATATTATTTGTGTTTTTGCGCATTTATGTGCCTAGACTTCTAATAGTACGAAGTTGTAATAGACAGGACGATAATACAATTAGAAGTAAACCTTAGATTGGAAACAACTGTTTGCAATATACCAAGACTGAAGGAATATTTCTTTTAAACATAATAGTTGTAAAAATATGTCCCCTTCAAAGGAAAAAGTCTTCCATATAATAAGTGATTGAATCTTATACAAAGCTTAATTACCAAAACCACTTAGAATTAGGCTTTTCCATACACTCAAATCACATTGTCTGATGTACTATCCTAGCCCAATCTGTTCATGACCTCCACATAATTCCCTTAAGTGGTATCTTGCATCAAAGATGGTAATAGTTCAAAGGAAATGTGAGGAAAAGAAGAGGCTCCCAACTATGCGGCTCGTCTTCTCTGTAGAAGTCCTATCAAACACTGAACTCTTCATCATCTTCTTCAATCTGTCCGTCCATTTTGATGCACTTGTACCATCTAGCACAGATCAAGTAAACCAAGAAGTCTACACTGGTCAGGGCTGCAAGCAGGAAAAAGAACCTTTCCATATGCCCCTTATTCAGGTCTTCTGGTATCCATCCAGGCTGGTTTCCTTTGACCGTGATTTTCATTACTATTGACACAATCAGACTGCTAACGTAGTTCCCTAAAGACATCGACATCATACAAAGAGCACTTCCAAAGCTCTTTAATCCATCTGGCATCTGTGAGTTGAAGAACTCTAGTTGACCAACATACATGAACACCTCAGAGGCCCCTATCAGTAAATATTGAGGGATCTGCCACAGGATGCTTAGAGTGCTAGGGGTATTTCCTGCACAATCTTTGCAAACATGCTTTAACCTATAGATTTCAACTGTTCCTGAGGAGATCATCGCGGACACAGCAAAGATGAGCCCAATTCCCATCCTCTGGAGTTCTGTTAGTCCTGTGGAGTCCTTCCGCAGGCTACAGACCAGCGGTTGGAGAATGTGGCGACAGAAGAAGATGAAGAATGTAACACCAAGGATGTCAAAGGCTGTCATGCTCGCAGGGGGTATTTGGAATCCTGCAATGGACATGTTCATTACTGCGCCCTGCTCAACAAATAGAGAGGCCATCTGCGTGAAGACAACAGAAAAGAGGATTGTGCATAGCCAGATTGGAAGGAGGCGAAGCACACATTTGACTTCTTCGACCTGGGTAACTGTACAGAGGCGCCAGGGGTTTTGGAGGTCGTGCTGCTCGTGGTGGGTAAAACGATCGTCGTCGAAGTTGATGAGTGCGGCTCGGTCCAAAAACCTTGAAAGTGATCATACACATTGGTTAGCATAGAGTGTTGTTTAGGAAGGTCCAATGGGAACTAGATGTTCTGTAGCTTACTTGAATCCTTTGGTGTGAAGGAGCTTCCTACTTCCACTAGTCCCAAGTTCCTTTCCATCCGCCTCGTATAGTTGCTCGTTGCTGGATGGAATATTTACTGTTGATTTCCTAGAGGCAGCGATAATGACCTGGGACACCCTGGAAAGGGGATTTCCAGTAGGCTGGAAGTGTCTGTACCTGTAGGTGTCAGCCAAGAACAGAGCAAGGGCAAGGAAGGCCGAGCCTGCAGAGGCCCAGAAGCTCAAGGCCCACATTCCTTCATTCTGGAAGTAGACCAATAAGGTGTTGGAGAAGAGGGAGCCTAAGTTGAGGAACAGGTAGAAATAACTGAAGAAGGAGACCTTAGAATGGGCTTCCTTTGGATCCTCCTCATCAAACTGGTCAGACCCAAAGGTGGCTATATTTGGCTGGTACCCACCATACCCTAGGGCAGTAAGGTAGATTGAGAAGTAGAACAATCCCACCTCCATCCCTGAGTGGGTCCTGCATTGGCTATGGACTTCACCACACCCAGAGGGTTTGAGCAAGAAGCGTGAGGAGGAGAAGGATAGCAACGCCAAGCCCTGTTAGCCAAAAGTTAACCATTACTTGGTAGAAACAGTAAGCAAAATTTATATGCCTAGAGTGATCAAAGATAGATATTGTGCTAATGGGAGCATTTGTCTGAACATTCCATGATAGTGATGGTTTAGATGTGGGTCAACTATTTTTTTTCCTTTTAATTCCTCAAGCAAAAGTGAAAGACAGCCATCTTGTTTCATTAAAGGTCGGTATATTGAATGATACAACACAGAAATGGAACAGTGGATTCCCTTTATAGCAAAAAAGTATCAAGTATAGAGAAAAATGAAGTGCAGACTTTAGCAACAATAGAAGGCTCCTTGAGGTAGCACTTTTGTTACAGTTAAACATCAATCAATAACTTTTAGAAATGAAGATCTTGAGACGGTGATGGGAAAGGATGTGTAGTGTACTAGCGGATGGTGTTTGGTCGCTACTTACGAAAACAAAGATAGCTTGGAAGATGGCACATGTCTTGTATCTTCCCCAGTAGGAATCACTGAGGAAGGCACCAACTAGAGAGAAGAGGTAGACTGTGCCTGTCCATTTACTGACATTGCTGGCGGCGTCTGCATTGTTCTGATGTAGTACCATTGTTAAGAAAAGGACCAGGTTCACTGCAACTCCAAAAAACGCAAGCGTTGCTAAACCCTGATTTACTGTGTCCAAATAAATGCATATACACATGTTAGTTAAAAAAAGAAAGCACAAAATGTTATCAAAGTGTAATATAGATAGGTATCTTCCCGGATAACTGTACCATTTAGGACTTCATATTATGCATGACAGTTCTGTACATATTGACATGGGTGAATGTAATACTTTATCCGTGTAGGAAGCACATGCGTCTATGTAGAAACGATTCTACTTCATTGTATGATGCATCAAGCAAAGTGTTTCTTTGTTTCGTAGAGCTTGTTTCAGAATGAACAAGGTAGATAACTCAAGAGAGAAACTAGATGCAAGCATGCTTGAAGTAATTCTTAAATCTATATATCTCTTCCATCATGGTTAATACCAAATAATTTGGGAAACTTTAACATTTTTCATCCACATTCTCTCTTTCTAGTTCATAGCTGATCTGATCCATGGAAATAAAATACTTAATAATAAGACGAATTCTATGATTAAAGGGTTACAAGAACACAATGCAAACAAAGTATTGAAACTGGATATATTTAGAAATCTGACCTATCTCCACAATCCGCACATACACCTGTTGGCTATACATGACAAATTAATGCGCGTTTCACTGTAGTCTTTGATTAGTAACTTAATTGGATGACGAAGAATAAAAATTTAGTACTTGTTTCTTTTGAAAGTATGAATATAACTACTATTTGGTACCTCTTGGCTATACACGACAAATTTACTACCTGTTGGCTATACATGACAAGTCAATGCATGTTTCACTTTAATGTTTAATTAGTAACTTGATTGGATGACCAATAATAAAATTTAGTGCTTGTTTCTTTGGGAAGTATGAATATAGCTACTATTTGAAATAAGTTTAAACTTTAAAGGCAATGAGTTCATATAATTAAAATATTTTATTATATTTTGTTATGCAACTCATGATAAGTTCTTTAAAGGAAATTATTACGGTATTAAGCTTAAAAGATCTTAAGTTTTCCTGTGAATTTCTATGACTTAAAAGGGGAAAATGGCAAAGCAAGATTAAATTTCATTAAGCATGGAAAAGAATTCCTTAAATGAAATGTACTAGGCATGGAAAAGAATTCCTCAAATGAAATGTTTTAGTTTTCATTTCTTTGAAGTAAAACTTTCTATTTGTAGTAAGATATTGTTCACTTGTATTATCATTAAATGAGGGTGGAATATCAAGTTTTATATTCTGCAGTAGGTGATAACTGAATTGCACCAAAAAACTTCCAAAAATGGAGCAAGAGAAAAACTAGGTCAGAACCTGATACCATGGGATACAAGAACTTTTATAAATTATCATTCTTTAACTTGTCATATCAAATTATATAAAGAATATAAATAGAGAGAATTACCAAGCAACAGCATCCCAGTTAGCCATCCACCACTTTTCTTTTTGTTTGCTGGCCTCCCTCTGAAGTCCACAGATCCATCCATAGTGCACTCACAGCATGAGCTTCCATTTATTTGTGTTAGTTAATGCGATATTATTTTCCTCCAAAGATACTTGAGAGGGGTAATATTAATTCAAACTTGAGAGATGGCAATGGAAATGTCAAAAGATACAGACTCTTGAAAAGATACTTGAAAAAAATGATAGCACATATCTACAATATTATATGTAATCATGGTATTGACTATTTATGCTAGTATATAGCAATCATAGGTTCTAGCTTTATGTTCATCGACTAAGGAATCTATGTAATAGCTTGGTACAGGTGAAGTTAAGAGAGAAGAGTAATAAGAGGAATGATGGACAAATTCTGAGTAGTGTAATAAGCCACACACCTTTTGAAATTTTGCAGAGGTGTCCATTGCTTGAGCTTTAGGAGTGAAGTACAACAAGGAGCATGTAACTAGATTGAGGAGGATTAGTATATAGGTGATGAAGGGGGCAATGAGTTAAGTAATTAGGTATCACCCTTTCCACTTGGTCAAGTGAAAACAGAAAGTCCACGAGGAAAATTTAGTAAACAAGTCGAAAAAGTCGAGAAGGGAAGAAAGGGGTTTTAGTTGGATCCATGTACTAATGAGGGAGGCAACTTAGGTTTGGTTAGCTTCTCCAAAAGTTTTCTAATAAATAAGGATAAAAAGAAGTTTCTGATGAAATGAGTCAGTGTCAGGTTAAATGAATTCAACCCTTAGGCACGTATGAGGTGAACTAAGTGTTTCCAATTACCATATATTGCAGTGATGCACTCTAGAATCCATGATATAGTCTCATTTAGTTCTATCTATCCTGCCTCCTGTCACAATCATCCTCTAGATGTTCTATGTTTGTACCTGCAGATGCCAACATTGCTCTAATATAGATAAGTGCTTGTGGTTCACTCCACTTTACCGAAGTGATAGTTGTTCTTACATAACAGCCAATTCTGCAAAGTGGTTACAACCTCCAAGCAGAATAATCCTCTTTATTCCTCAAATGAGGCCACCCTTGGTTCTATATAACTATTTGTTTGGTCTCATAGTAACTCAGTTGAGACATGACAACTTCATCAAGTTTGTTCAACCCGCTTGAGGCCCGGTTAGGACTTAACTAACATGGAACTTAAGTTAGATGTAAAAAAAGATAATTCTAATTTTTATCCTTATCAAAGTGTGAAGTATTGATAGAAAGAAATGAGAGAAGGAGAAGAAGCAAGCAGGGTTTTGTATCCTTTAGATTGATTTGTTCAACAGTTCACAACATTTTGACTATATGTGATCAGATCATTATGCTCTTGCTTCATAGGAGTTTTTACAATTGAATTGTGGGTTTGGAGGTTCCCATTTAATGGTTTGAAGTTTGAACCTTAAGATTTCTATAGTTGAAAGGTGGTTCTCTCTTATTTGTAGAGTGGAAATATTTTCCCTTCATGCTTGTGGATGTAGTGCATGTTGTGATTGAGCCACATTATTTCTTGGTGTCCATTGTGGTTGATTGGATGCTGTTTTTTTTGTTCCGCATTTTTGTTCATATTACTTTCCTTGTAGGTGTTCTCTTCTGCTCTGGACAAAATGTCCATGAAACTAGGAATTTGCAGAGCCAGCGAATGGTATTAAATCCTGCATTTTACTTCATCTTACTCTCACATAGATCTTATATTTGTATTCTCTTTGATCCCAAAAATACATCCATGAAACTAGGAACTTACGTAGAGCCAGAGTACTGTGCATTAAATAACAACAAAATGAACACTTTGATCATGGACTTGATCCTCATTTACAGAAGGCATCACACAGAAGTGTATGTTACCATCAAAGTTGATTTTAGGGCAATGACCTGGCACATAATTCCCCTTTTGCCATGTCTTAGTCTATTGGAGAGAATATTTCTTGAGTTCAGCCAATCTGATTAAAAGATAAGGATGCAAGAGTCATCTAAATCAGGCCTTCTGCTTGCCCCTTGCCGTGGGTCTCTTCTGCCAGTATCAATCGCTCTAACTGGGAGATTCCATAACTAACATCGCTGTATCACTGGTGGAAAGGCAGAGTTTTGCTCAAGATTCCATTTGTCCCCTTCATGGCCTCCAAAACACAGTATCGTGCCACCGAAACATCAGCCTTCTCAAATTCAGTTTCAAAAGGAACCTGCTCATTCTATGAAATTGATGGAGTACTTTCTGTCGACATGCAACCCTGTGCAGAATGTAGGACTCTTAGCTTTGGTGACTTGTTAAACTTAAATTTGATACATTATAGTGTCATTTTCGTATCTTTGTTTCCAATATATCTGGATTGAGGATATGATACCTTTTCCAGGTAAGAGCTTCACCTGAATTCACTTGTTATTCAAACAGTATAGCTTGGGTTTATAAAAATCTATTTTTGATAAAGAGATGGGCTTTCGAAAGATGTTGAAGGTATTTTAAAAAAAAGAAGGATATTCCAATCAGTAACTTGTACTAACTAGCTGCTTTCTGATATATGAAAGGCTATTGATGTCAAGCTGTTCTTTTGCTGTTAGTGTAAAAACTTTTACACGCTTCATGTGGATTATCTTCTGGGAATTTCAATTGTTACAATTTCTATCCTGCAACATGTTGCCATCCTTAGAAGGTAGGTTTGGCTTAACATAACAGTGTCATTCTGCTAGAAAACATAAACGACTGTTGTCCAGATAACAGTGTCATTTTGGTAAAAGTATAAAAACATTGATTAGTTAATTAATCTTTCTATATATTCAAATTATGTGTAACAATATTGAACAAATATGAAAATTTCTGTTACATGTCTTGTTCTTGTAATCGAGATTTGTCGTATTCAGTTTAGATGACCAATAACTATTTCATCCATTAAGATTTGGATCAGGGTATTTACACCTAGCAATGCATATGACCCAAAAAGGAGAAAAGGAATAAGAATGGAGAAAGCTATACTGTGATGCATATGTTGAAGAAGGATAAGATTAAAAATACATCAGAATACATAGACTTATATATGGCTCTTAACTTCTAACTTAACAACAATATTTATGCATGATTTTGACTTGTAGGGTATATGGGTTGGTTGAATGCTGGTTGAGATGTTGACAAGGAAGCTAGAAAGAGCAATGAATCTTGAAAAAAACCGTTAAAAAATATTATCACAACAGGTCATCATCCTCCCACGAGCGTGATGAGCGTTACCGTATCATCTACGTATAAAGTATCAACCTGCGACACCGTATCATCTATATATAAAGCATCAACCTATATTTGTATACAGATGCAAATCTCAATGCAATATGTGGCTCTCAGTTTCTTATCTAACAATCATGATGACTTAGATAGGGACACTTGTGCTATACCTCAGCTTGGTACCCAGATATTTCTTTCCATTCTATCAGGAATAACTTGCGGTTTCTTGCATTTTATGTACCTCTTTTAGAATCAAGTGGCATTTTCACCAAACATGGCCACTATTTTAGGTAGAACCTTTAGATCAAGCAAAATCTTCGATTAATACTATTTGACACTAAAGTTTATCTTGAGTCATGAATGTTGGTTTTAGTGGATGTCACTCTGGAATTCACTCAGAAGTGATGATCCCGGAGCCCAGGGTGCATGGTTAAGTAATTGGTGAACCTTTTCACATTCACTATTTTGTACTCTTCTTCTTTGTTTATAAGTAATATGTGATTTGTGCTTCACCTCTAAAGGCAACAATAGTAAACTAATGATGCACCTAATTTGATGATATGATATTTAGTGTTTTGTGTTT